CCTCCTGCGGCCCAGAGGCAGCGTCGGCCCCCCCGGGGACACCCGGCCCCCCACAGGGCACCGGCTGGCTGCCGAGCCCCATCCTGCCCCAAAGGCGGGGGGCTGCAGCATCCCACCCACCTCAGAGAAGGTCCAGGAGACAGCCCGGCCCTTCTTGTCGATCTGCGGCCGGCGCATGGTCTCTGTCCCGCCCTGGAAGAGGATGAGGGTGGGCAGCTGCTTGGTGAGGGGCGAGGTGCTGACCTTGTACCTGTGGCAGAGGGGAGGCCAACAATGAGCCCCAGGCAGTTGGGGGGGCTCCCACAGACCCCTACCCTGCCACGGGCCCTGCTGCCCAGGCCATCTCCCCTCAGACCTGGTGCTGACATCCGTGTACCGGCCGACATCCACCTTCCCAAAGTGCAGCCCCGAGCAGTTGTACCTGGGGAGGATGGGGCACATGGCTGTGCGTGCCACAGGGCCGGGAGCGAGCCCCAGCCCTGCCACAGCCCCCAGCTGGCGCCACTCACTTGAGAGAGAGGTCGGCGAAGATGGGGGCGAAGGACTGGCACTCGCTGGACCAGTTGGCAAAGAACTCAACAATCCAGGTCACCCGTTTGTCCCGCTCCAGCTCCTCCTGCCACAGGGGCACAGGGCTCAGTGGAGGACGGCAGGCGGAGCCCCCAGCACCCCCCGGGGAGGAGATACTCACATCTATGGTCTTGTCGCTGAAATACTTGATGTACTCAGGGCCCATGTAGAGGGGGGGCTTGCAGGTCATCAGGAACACTGCAATGACAGCAGCCCTGAGCTCCCCCACCCCCAGAAGGCCCAGGCCAGGCTTGGGACGAGGCTACTCCTTCCCCAGGGCAGCCTGGGGACACCAAGGCGGAGCGAGCCCTGGGGCAGGCAGAAGTCCCCATCGAGGTGCTTCCTCAGCCCCTCCTCGCCCATGGAGACTCCTTACACCCGCAGCCTCCTCCCCCAACAAAGGCTAGGGGTCAGCCCCATGGCAAGAGGGAGCTCCGACCTTTTCAGACGGGTGGCATGTAGGACAGGAGGGACAGCAGGTGCCGAGGGCAGGCCGTGCCGTGCCAAGGGGGCACCACCACTGCCCCCGCTGCTCTGGGCTCCCCCCTGCAGGTCTCACCTATGCAGAGCGTGAGGTAGAGCAGGCCCATGCGGATGTCGAGGCGGAAGAAGAGGATGGCGTTTGCCACTTTGCTGAACATGAAGATGTTCCCGATGTGCTGCTCCACGGTGACTGCGGAAGGGAGAGAGGGACAGAAGATGGGGCCAGATCCCCCCAGAAGACCAGGGGGAATCCCGAGGGAGGGCCAGATCTGGTCCTCCGGATCCCAGCCCCTTCAGCTCCTTGGGGAAGGCCCCATAAGCATCCCCCACTCCCCTGCCCCAGCACAGCAGCCAACTCACTGGAGCGTCGGTTCTTCATCATCACAATGGCGCTAAGGAACATGAGGATCTCCACCTCCCGCTGGGACAGGAGAGACAGCGTGAGCAGAGGCACCCACGGGACCCTGCAGCCGCCCAGCGCTGCCGGGCTGCAGAGCCTGGGAGTGGCC